CTCACAATCTCTGTCTTGATATTCTTGGATTAGTATCTACCATATTTATCCATAATTCTTGGATTTCCTGTTACTTTTTTTCTTTTTTTCAGTCTTTTTTCTCTTTGGTTTTCAGTTTTGGAGGTTTCTGTTGAGATATCTTTGAGCTCAGAGATTCCTTCCTCAGTCTTAATCTGTTAAGGCTGCTGTAACAAATTACTGCAGGCTGGGTAGCTTACTAATAACAGAAATTTGTTTCTTGCATTTCCAGAGGCTGGTAAGTCCAAGATCAAGGCACCAGCATGGTCAGGTGAAGACTCTCTGTCTGGTTCATAGCTGGTGGCTTCTCCCTGCATTCTCACATGGTGGAAGGAGTTAGGGAGCTCTGTGGAATCTTTTATAAAAGCACCAATCCCATTCATAACATAAACATACATGTACTCATATATGTATATATATATATATATAAGCATACGTAATCACATATATTGTTATTATTTTGAACAAATTGTTATGTTAGATCAATTATGAATAAGAAAATAGAAGTTTTTCCACTCTCATGATCTAATCACATCCTAAAGGCCCCATCTTCCTTCTAAACAGTATCATGTTGGACATAAGGATTTCTACACGTGAATTTGGGGTGGGGCAGGACATAAACATTTAAACCATGGTACATGTCAAGTCTGCCAATGAGCCCATCAAAGGCATTCTTCAATTCTAATAAAGTGATTTTGATCTCTAGCATTTCTTTTTGGTTCTTTTTGAGAATTTCCTTCTCTCTGCTTACTGTGAGTGACCATGAGTTCTTGCATGCTGTCTACCTTGTCCATTAAAGCCCTTAGCATATTAATCATAGTTGTTTTAAATTCCCAGTCTGATAATTTCAGTATCTTGCCACATATGAATCTGGTTCTGATGCTTGCTCTGTCTCTTCCAGCTGTGTTTTTTGGCTTTTTAATATGCCTTGTAATTTTTTCTTGATATCCAGACACAATGCGCTGGGTAACTGCTGTAAATAAGGCCTTAGTAATGTAGTAGTAAGATATGTGGAGGGAGGGGAAGCCTTCTCTAGTCCTCTGAGGAGATACAAGGTTTTTAGTGAGCCTGTGCCTCTGGACTAGAGCTTCGCATATGCTTCTCGGTCACCCTCCCCTCCCCCAGCCGAGGGCTATAGGATGACTAGAATGGAGTTGGGTGTTTCCATTCTCCCTTGTGGAAGGCTAGAGGGGACTGGAGTTGGGGTTTCCCTTACCCCAAGTCACTTGGGCTCTGATAAAACCCCAGCAGTTTAGGGCCTAGCTAAATAGTTAACTCGTGAGAACAGACCTTGTTTAGCAGCATAAGGGAAGTTTTCTCCCATATTTACTGTGAGAATCTCATTAGAACTCCAGGAGGAAAAACTCACTAAAGTGTGGGGACCCTGATGAATGGGCCCCCTTGGAGTTTTAAAATCTGAGTTGTCCACCCTGAGCCTCCAGTGATTCCTTAGTACAGTGCAGCCTTCCCGACCCCGGCACTTAATTCTGACGGAGCTCTCTGCTCCAGTAAATTGTGATTCTCTGCATTTGCCTGCCAGTTCCTCCAATCTAGGGGTCAGTAGTTACTCTAGACCTCAGATCTCCAAATCTAAGGAGAGGTGTTGCTTTTTCAGTTTATTAAGCTTTTTAGTTGCTGTTAGGATTGAGTGTCAACTTCCAAGCCTCTTACATGCTGAACTGGATACTAGAAGCCCTCAAGAGCACAAGTTTTTTAAGCTTATCAGATAAAAGGCTTGAACTCTCACAGTGAGTGTAGCCAGCACATTGTGTAGCCCAGCATTTCCCTAACTTATTTGACCATAAACCCCCTTTTTGTCATGCCACACTGGTTAATGTGCCATGAAATCATGGGAACTGACTTTGGGAAACACTTGAACTAAGGGACTGTCTGTGCTGGAGAAGTAGCCAGTCATTTCCTCTGGTTGTGGCTTAGTGCTTAGAGGCCCAGGGAGGTGCTGCAGTTGTTCCATTGGACCAGGAAGCCCAGGTGGGTCTCCTTTATAATGAAAGACCTAGTGAGAGGCAGAGCGGTTATGAGTTTCTGCTCCTGGAAGCTTGCTGGGCTCAAATCCTGACTGCTGAGAGACCCTAGGCAACATACTTAACCTGTTTGCCTCAGTTTTTCCATCTGTAAAATGGAAATGATGGTGATACTTTTGGCTCATATGGCTCCTAAAAGATCATGTGAGTGAAAACTTGTTCAAAACTTAGAGTGTGCTTGGCACCCAGTTAGTGTAGCTGGGTCTTTGTAAGCTCCTATAGTCATAGCCTGCAGACTCTTACATTTGCTCTTCAACCCATGGATAGACTATATAGCCTCTTTAAAGTGCCTAGGAAACATGGGATAAAATTCATTATACACTTACTTTGGTATGAGTTAGCCATTATTTGATACTCTTTTTACACTGCAGCTATTTTCTAGATTCAGCTCTGTGGAAGTAGGAAGACTGAGAACCAGTGGTGTTAGCCATATTTTTGGTGCAGAGCAATAGTTTCCAGTATTTCCAGACTTATGGATCCCCCCTTTTTTTAATGGACCCCCTTTTTTTCAGCATTTAAAGTTGGGCAGACCACAGCATCTCCACATATAGTGGTTGTGCTTTTGCCATCAACTGAGACAACAATAATGGCCAAAAGCTACTATAAATGCTGAGATGCTCTTTAAAAAAATAAGTTAAATGTTTTGAGATAATTATATGTACATGCAGTGATACTTTAAATGAATTATTTCCTGCTGCTGCTGACATGTAAGAAAATAAACCAAGAAAAACTTCTAACTGGGTAAATCAATCACTCACCTATATTAAAATATTAGAAAAAATAGATGCAGTGAAAGATAGATGGAATGGCACTTCTTTATGTATACCTGTGGGAAACTGGCATATCTGCATGTGTTCTCTGACCCTGCCAATAGCTCTGAGATCTCTAGGGTTCTGCAGGTCACAGGACCCACTCTCCTGCAGTCAAAGAATAATCAGTGGAGAAAAGGGTCCTCATACTGCAGGTCATCCCGTTAGTGGGGAATCCTTGGCCCTCACTCCTCAAATTCCTATGAAGGGGGATTTCTCTTCTCTTGCCAGCTCCCATCCCTCATTTGTATGAGGGGAACTTCTCTGGTAATATTAGCAATGGTCTATCAGCCATTGGGCCACACCTATGTGGGGTAAGTTGTCCCCAAAGTGACCTAAAGCTGCATCATGTCCTCCCTGGTGCTGCCCACTTTGGGTTTCTTGGGTGGAGAGAAGAACCAGGGCTCCTCTCTGGCTAACCTGTGAGGTTTGTCTGTCTAAGGCCACCTACACTCCTCCTTTTCTGGAGACAGCCTGTAACCTGTCGTTTTCGGCACTCTGTAACACTCTCCAATCATCTAGCGACTGGTTTGTGACTGGAATCTTCCAAGCGGGAGGCTAAGGGCACTCAGAGTCAGCTTTGTGCACCCACACTTGCCACACATGCGCACAGCATTCTAGAGGTTGGGAGGCAGCCCTTGGGGCCTTGGTTCTGCCCAGTCCTTCAATTTGGCCTTTCCAGGAATTGTCAGTCCTCCGTTCCCAGGGTGGATCTTCTGGTCCCTGTCTGACAGCTGGAAGCGAGGGCAGATTGTGTTAAAGAGCACCCATACCCAATCCTCAGGAAGACTTGGAACAAAAAGGAAAGGCAGTGTAAAATCCCCACCTTAACAACTACTAGTAATTTTATGTAGGAAGTATTCCGAGTTTCACAAGGCACACAAGAGAATAGCGAGAAGGCAGTTGCTCTGCACTCTCTGAGAAAGCTCAGCTGCAGGGGCACAGAGGTGATGTCCCGCCAGCACGGAGCCGGGACCCAGCCTGGGCAGGAAGAGCTGTTATAAATAAAACCCTCAGTGCAACCCCAGGGATGTTACACAAAGCTCTGTGCTTTCACTGGCTCTCCTAATACACCTTCTTCTTTCCTCCCCTCCCCTGTTCTGCACAGCTCATCAGAAAAGTCACCTGGGGACAGAAAATATAAATCTGTGTGTAACTATAGACCTTTGTTTAAATATCGTTTGTGCTTAAAGGGACCAGGCCAGAATTCTCTAACACTAAGTAGTGAGATTAAATTCTGCCCCTTTAGATGTTCAATATATTTAATAAGAAAACACTGCTATTGATATAAGAAAGGAATTTCACTTAGAATATCTCAGGAGCCCAGTTCTTTACAATACTTCTCAGGACCTGCTAACAATTGTTATGATGAGTGAGTTAGGGAGTGTGCCTTTCTCTGCCAGCCACCTCAAGACAATCTTCAGTAATACTCACTGGGGACACAAAGAGTGTGGTTGGGGCCACACAGATCCACTTACCACCCTAGCTGCTGTTTCCCCTTGAGGGTCATCTTTGGACAACTTTGAACTGGGAAAAATGACTGTGAGGCATTCCTACTCCAGAGGCCAGGCTGGAAGCAGCAGATTGAAGGCAGTTATTAAAATGAGACATGCACAGGAGATTGCATCACTTACTTTTTAAAGTAAACAGAAGTAAAGATTTGGCTATGAATTGTTTGCCTGGTCATTCTTGTTGCTCACCTCGGCCAACCCCTTGTGCTAACCTCTCAGTGTTCTTTGGATGACAGTCATTTCTATCTCTTGAGTGCCACGCAGAATTATTCAGCAAGGAGCCAACAGACAACAGGCGTCTGCCCACTGCTCGGGGGGCCACCGAGTCCTTTCTCCTGCTTGGCAGCTAAAACCCGGGCAGTAAAGCCTAACCCCACCTGTGAAACTGGAGAGACCGAAGGGCTCCAAGGGAAATGTCTGGGAGCTGGCAGCTGGGGCCTCTGTGCCTGGGCACTCATTCATTCATTCTTTCAAGCATCTGACACATACTTATTACGTGTCTACTATGTGCAGGCAGTCTTCCTGATGCTCTAGGTGTAGCAGTAAAGTAAACAGACACAAATTCCTGGCCTTAGGGGACTTACATGTTAGTGGTGAAGATGGTAAATAAAATAAATAAGTATTTTGTACAATATATTAAATGATAAATGCTACAGATAAAAATAAATCAAGAAAGAAGGATAGAGAATGCCAGGTGGAATTTTAAATGGGGGTATATGGAGGGCCTTGCTGAGAAGGTGACATCTGAACACGGACCCTGCAGTGAAGCCCTCCCCTTCACAAGCGCACACACATCTTCCAACCAGTTTTTGGTGCCCTATTCTTAAATATGTACAGACAGATCTCAAGTTCAAAGCAATATATTGGAAAGCCTTCAAATATAAAACAAACAAAAATAGGGACTCAGACAGCAAAAAGATAATGCAGGAATCAAGAAGGCAGCATTTCAAAAGGCCCCAACTACAGTTACCTTTGAGAGAGAATAGAAGTGATTGTATCCATAAAACAAGATGACAAGAAAACAAAACAAAACGAACAACTGAGAACAAGAAAGAACTCCTGGAAATAAGAAAAAATTAGTCGGAAAAAATTCAGTAGAACCTTAGAAAAATTACAATAGCCTCAGAGAGAGAGAAGATACCGCATTCATGAAATGGAAACATTCCTATAGAAAAGGAACCCTCCGATAATACTGAAGAGCTATGAGAAATTAAAAATGATGTCAGCAATTAAAAACTCAATAGAAAAAGAGGAAGATAAAGATGAGTAAATTCCTTGGTGGGGTTGGGAGGGAAAGGGATTGAAATAGAAGAGAAAAATAAAACAAAAATTTGAAGATGGGTCCAGGAAAGCCAGTATCTGCTTATGAGAAGTTCTAGAAAGAGAGCACAGAGAAGATGGAGGGGAGGAAAGTATCCATAAAATACTCCAATAAAAGGTTCAATGGGCCCTCCATCCCTTCAAGGAGCCCCCAGAATATATAAAAATAGACCCTCACCAAGGCACATCACTGTGATATTTCAGAACACAGGGTCCAAAGGAAAGATTTTGTAAGCTTCCAGAGTTTAAACAAACAAGAAAACCAAACAGGTCGTCACCCAAGGACAGGAAGCAGAATGGTCTCTGGCTTCTTAACAGCAGCACTGCAAACAAGACAATGATGGCGCCTCAAACTTCTGGAGGAAAATGATTTCCAAGCAGATATCCATACAAGCTGTGAATCAAAATTGAGGGTAGGATAAAGATACTTTCGGACAAGTGAGGTTTCAAAAAGTTTACTTCTTATTCTTTCTTTCTAATAGCTCTGGAGGGTATGGTTCTCCCAAATGAAGAAGGCTAAACACAATCTGCTGACTTCCCTTTGATGTTCATTCTCCCCTTCTTTCTTTTAAGGCAGACCTCCCTCAGTTTTAGCAGGGCAAGCGGCTTCCCAGCAGGGCCTCCATTGCCTAACCTCTGCTTCAGCCTGGGCAATTTTTATTAGAACAGAAATTAACCGTTCACACTAGACACTGCAAAAGAAAATTAACTTAATCCAGAACAAACTTCACAATAAGGGATTCTTACGTTTTCATAGAGTGGGGAAATAAGGAGAGAAAATCATTTAGGCAGTGTTTCCCAAATTTGGCTACTTTCACAGACATATTCTTGGGAGAGGGGATTGCAAGTTTCTTTTATAATGTAACTCTATGTTTTACTTTTGTTCATCATCTAAACAAAGTAATATACACTTGTTCAGGATTAGCTGGATGACCATCCTATATAACAGTGTCGCCACATGGCTGCAGCATCTACACTTGTGCCTCTGATCCCTGGGGCACCAAGTGAAGACCAACATGCTTAGCTTTTCACGTGTGGTTCTCAATTTGGGTCCTCAAGACCCTTCATGAAATTGTTGAAATTTCCTATGAGATTTGTGAGTTGCCGAGGTCAAGAACACTGGCTCAGACTACTGATTCTCAGGATAGGATGGAGTGGGGTAGGGATGGCGATTGTAGAGACACATGTAGTTTGAAAAAGCCCGTTCAAAATACTGATTTCATAATACAGACTCTGTGAAGTCAGACTCAACAAAATTATTTTCAGGCAGTAGCAGAAAAAAACCAGCTACAGAGTCATCCTAGTGGGCCTGGGATAAACCTGGTTGAGCGACAGTGGTTTAGAGGTAGAGGAGTTCTAGCACACGGAGAACAGTAGGAAACATGTGCCAAAGGGAAAAGAAAGCCTTCTGGGTCATTGAGTGAATCCTTGTTATGGTCCTGTGGAACCCCAAGGGCCAATCCAGAAGAAACCTTACACTTCCATCAACCTTTTGTGGTTTGGGGCAAGTCAGTCCACTTGTAATACTGAGTCAAAAGAAGAAAAAGCTGTTTTTGTCCAAAACTTCCTCCTTCCTTTTTTGGGTAATGCATTTCAGAATTTTAGTAAACAGTTGCTGTAGTTGGGAAAGGGAGCCCCAGGTCTGTCCACCAGGAACTGCTGTCATCATTTGCAATGCCTCCAGCTCTCAAGGGAGATATCAACCTGGAGTCTGCTGTGCCAGGGAAAAAAATACAAGAATTAGATTTTCTTGGAAAGGTAAATGCTCCTCATGTCCCATTCATTACCAGGTAGCTTGCTCTTGTGATCTGAGCACAATCTGTGACAGAAGGCCTTGAGATGCAGTAGCCAGCAGAATACTGAGATCATATAATGGGGAAGGGTAATGCAAACAAAGTGACCTTGTGAATATGGGGAACTCTACAGCTCACGCCTACGTAGGGGTGGTTGGGGAAATAGTATGTCCCACTCTCCCAGGAAAATCAATAGTTTTCTTCCATTCTTAATATAAGCCTAAATTGCCTCCAAGTGTCCCAGAAGAGGAAGCATTTGGCACCACATCTAAACTGGACTCTGAGTGCCTTAGTGCATATGGGGTGAGGCCAGAAAGTGAACCCAAACAGTGTTCCCCTGTCATGATGCTGTTGGGGGATTATAATCAGAAGGTTTATTAATACTGACTATTTAATTTCAAGGGATTCAGTTGTATTTTTTCATACCTTTTAAAAAAGTCTTTTAAACTTCAGTTGCTATCCTGAGTAACCACCACAAATTATACATACTCATTGCTCAGAGTAAGTTATTAATTAATGGGCAATAAATACCCCAACAAAGAAAATTTTGGTTGAAAAACCACTACTTTCTCCTCTGACTAAAAAACCCACTGAGTCTCTCTGCATATGAGTCAGCAGAATTGGCCTAGTTAGAAGCTAGCTAGCACTAACAGGAACTGGGAGACAGAGGAGTGTATCAGACCCCAAAAGTGTTCTGGTTCTTTTCTAAAGAGTTCATCACTCTATGGGTTTCCATTCACCAAGGATCTCCTTCAGGTTACAGTTGTAGAAAACTTTGGGCATTTGGGGAACCAATTAGATTGAACTGATTTGTAGTGTGAACACAAGTAAAGCAATAATTACCTTGATTTCACATTGCCCTTAGAATAATCCAAACTGTTCACCAGGGCCTGTGCACTCTGACCCCTGCACATGTTACTATTCTTTCTTCTTACTGTACAACACTCAATCTGCTCTTGCCTGTTTTCTGTTCCTTGAATATTCCATATTTGTTGCACCTCAGGGCCTTTGCACTTGGTGTTTACTCTGCCTGAAAAGCTCTTTGGCTTCATCTTTACATGGCTCTCTTATTCTTGTCAATCAGGCCTCAGCTCAACCAGTCCCTCTGAGAAAGGCCTTCCCTCACCATATTAGCTAAGTTTGCTCCCCACCCCCTGCCATGTTCTATCAAACAAATTTTGTTTGTTTCCTGAATTATTTACTTACTTGTTTTTGATCTATCTATTTAGAATATAAGTTCCATATTATCTTTTCATTCATCACTATATTCCCAGTGCCTTGTATGGTTTCTGTCACATAGTAAATGCTGAATATTTGTTGCATGAGGGTTGAGTGAAAGGATTTCCTCCCATGGACACAGTCAATCCCTTTGTAAAATGGGAAACTCATAAATGATGTTACACTTCCTGAAATCATTCTTTCCCTAGACAGAGTGCCTTCCTAGATTATAATGAAATATGGCAGTAGAATTCCACCATTTCCCAGAGTTCCTGGCCCACCTGTTACTCACCTATAATTATTGTAGGGCTCCAAGTTGCTGTAGCCGCATCAACAGTTCCCCCCTCTCATGCATATTTATTAGATCATTGCATCCACCTATACAATCTTTACCAAAAAAGACTCGAGGTACCTAAAAAACAAACAAACCAGGACACTTAAGGATTTATTAGGTTAGAAAGAATGACACCTTATCGTTCCTCTAAATATTTCCATGATCCAAACTATTTCAGATTAATTTACAACGTCCTCATGTGTATTCTTTTAGGTCAAAACTTTGTTATAAGCATAAAATTATTTATTAAAGAATGTTTTTCAACCAAGATATTACTCACATTGAGTGTGCTGTTCATGAGATTGTTTAACTATTCAAAGTGATTTAAAAACTTCACTCCACAGAAACACATTTCAGAGAGAATTGTGGTGGGCTGCAGCTAGACCACCCCGAGTGAATTCTGGTTTCTCTGCAGCTGGGACCACACTTTGGCCCTGAAGTCAAACTGTGGCAACCAGGAAGGAATTGGTTTCTAAATACAGCTTGAAAAGTGTTTACGTTAGGTTTGTGTCCCTAACTTTAAGATTCACAGTCCATTAGTCACCTCTGTGGTGTGGGCTCTGTCCTCAGCTGGGGGAGGAGTGGTGGTGGTGTCTCAGTCCCTTTCTTTAGTCCCCGGCCCATGATAAGATGTCTAAGTGCTGTAGCTCTGGGAGCTAGGACTGCCCTGGTTTCACACCTGGTGGGTCACCCAGGTCAAGCCAGGCAGACAGTCATTATAGTTCAGAATGCACTCATCTCCTGTCACACACACACTCAGGATCCCTCCCTGCTGCTAGGTACAGGCACATTCCAGAATTCCAGAGAGTTTTGAGACTCCTGAAGGAGGAGCAAGTCTCCTCATTGCTGCCCAAATCCAGGCCAAGGGTATCACAGAGGAGCTGACCGGCAGTGAGGAAACCAGCACACTAAGGCCCCCTGAGTGGTGGGAAGCAAGCAGGTGCTCTCTCAGAACACTAGGAACATATCAGAAGGGCTGGACGGGTGTGACAGAGGCTGTAGGAAACTTCTGAAAATTCTCAAAACTTTTGTTTTCTCTCAGAAGGCGTAATAATTAAAATGAAGTTTTTAAAAAGTGAGAGATGAGAAAAAGGGCTGAATTATTTCAGATAAGTCCTTTTAGTATTTTTATTAAGAAGGGGGTCTGTGTGGAAGTGGGCTTTAAAAATCAAGGCCAAAAATTAAAAGAATCCTGCACCACATTACCAGGCTATTTCTTTGTGCTGAGAATGGGACTGAGTTCCACTGAGGAAGCCTTGTTGGGTCCTGTTCAGTCACAGAAGGTACTGCCAGAAACCCAGGTTTTCCCCTGGGTTCTAGCCGTTATAAAGCTCCCCTTTCCCAAGTGCTGGGGGCCCCTTGACTCCTGTCTTCCCAGGAGCACGTGGCTATGGTTGCAACAGTAAATAAAACAGCATCCTAGTATAATTTTACTGTAATTATTCTGCAGTAAATTATTTCATATTTTATATTCTATGACATAAAAATCATTTTAAATAAAGAAGAGATGATTCAGTCTCGAACTTATGTTTTCAAAAAGAATTGAGCAGCTGTCACTACTTCTACAGCTTCCCACATCTCTACCTTTGACCAGGGTGTTGGCCAAGAAGGTTCCAGTTAAGGTAGTTGTAGAAAATGCCCTGAGGAGGAAGGAGTCCTTTCCTAAGATGGTGGTTCTCAAACTAGACAGAGCATCCGAAACACCCAAGGTCTTATTAAGACCTAGATTTCTACTCCTCCCCACCAGATTTCTGACATGGGAGATCTGGGTTGGGACCCAAGAATTTGCATTTCTGACAAGTTCCTGGTTGATGCTGACTCCACTGCTCCAAGAATCACAGCTGCAAGCTCCGGGTGGATACTGAACCGGTCATTCCCCCCAAGGTAACAGAAGCTTTGAAAGCGCACAACTCCCCAATAGCCCCCCACAGCCTGAGACAGGCCCTGAAACACAATCCAGCTGTATCTGGGGAGGAGTTCTGTGGACACCATCTGGCCAAGAAGCTGGTTTGCCCGAAAGCTAAAAGTCCCGTGTCCTAACACTGCCCCGGCAAGCGAGGTACCAACCAACCACGTGGAAGCACACTGGTCCTGGGCATCCCTGGAGGAGCTGAGCCGCGGCTGCCCCGGACAGCGGGGAGCTGTGGTGACAGAGCAGGAAGCCGTTGGCTCAGCTGAGGAAGGGAGAGGAAACACATCCTCCGGGCCTTCCCTTGCTGGCCTCCTCCCCCTCTCCGGAGGAACTTGAGAGTGTGTTATTGTCAAGCAGAAAGGGAACTGTCACCATAAGAGCAAGCTCGGCCACCCTGGGGCCGGTCCTGCCCTGCGGTAGGTCTCTCCAGCCCCAGCCTGGCCAGGGGCATCGGCTGTGCTCTAGGGTTCCTGGCCAGGAGCTACTCAGTCACTTCCTAACCCTCCTCACCAGCTTCTGGCTACATCCTGCCTGCAAGCTGCCACCATTTCCCGCCTGAGTTACTGCTATGGACTCCAGGTAGTTTCCCAGCTTCAACCCTCACCCCGGCCTCTCCCACAGTCTTTTCCCTATAGCCACCAGAGTGACTCTCTCAAAACTAAGATCATATCACTCCTCTGCCCAAACCCTTCAGTGCCATCTCATCTCACATCACAGCCACAGTCCTTAGGACAGCTTGATAGGCTCTCCCAATCTGTACCCCATTGTCTCTTAGACCTACTATTCTCCTACTCACAATGCTCCAGTCACACACACCCTCTCGTCAGGTATACTTCTACCACAGGACCTTTGCACTTGCTGTTCTCACTGCCTGGAGAGCTTACCCCTAAATTTCTGCATGCCTTGCTCTCTCACCTCCTTTAGAGATCTACTAAAATCAGTGAGGCCCTGATGGCTCCATTTAAAGCTCTACCTTGCTGCCTACTGCCTATACCCTTCCCTACTGAGTTTTTCTCCACAGCATATAACACATACCACCTTCCAACATAGTATTTCATTTGTTGTATTTATTAGAATGTAAATTCCACAGAGGCAGGAGCTTTTGTTTGTTCAAGGTGGTGTTTCCAATGTCCAGAAAAGTGCCTAGTATATAGCGGGTGTTTAAAAATATTTATTGTATCCAGCAAAATTATCCTTCAGAAGAAGAGGAGAAATACTCTCACACACACAATAGATCTGCCTTACAACAACTATTTGAAGTTCTGGAGAAGGAAAATGATACAGGTCAGAAACTCAGATCTACATAGAGAAAGGAAGAGCATGAGAAAAGTAATAAATGAAGGCACACATCTAGAAGCTGTGGCTATAGCAAAACCAAAACAATTTCTCCAAGTTCATAGCCTGAATGAAGGGATCAGTTTCTGCAATCGGTCAAGTCCTGCTGGGCTCCTACTATAGGCATGTCAATCATGGTAGGTCACTACAGGCTCCCACTGTATGCAGATCACCATAGATTATTACAGGATGAGTAGGGTAGCAATTGCTCTTAAGTTTTCAGTCTCTTTGAATGTAAACTCTTCATTGTTAGGGATCATGAAGCATATAACTTTAAAGGATTTATTCTTCTTGGAGGAATGCATTCAGAGCTCAAGAACCTGTGAAAATATTTTTAAAAATTCATAAAGTTCAAGACTACTAGAATTAAAAACTGTTGCTTTACAAAGAAATGGGGAAAAAAATGTGTTGAATGGATGTATAAAGAGGCTTGTTTTCCGTACTAGTCAACAGGCTGCCATGGTGGGACATGTAGCTCCTACTCCCTGTTGCCAATTGGAATTACCTGTGGATCTTTTTTAAAAATAGGAAATAAACTATTTTTGTCCAGAGGTATAATTGACAAATAAATTTGTATATGAGGGATACAGTGTTGTGGTTTGATAAATGTACACACTTGTGAAATAATTACCACACTCAGGTTAATTAACACGTCCATCACCTCACAGAATTACCATTCACATGAGTGTGGTGAGAACATGTAAGACATACTCTCAGCAAATTTCAAGTATACAATACAGTACTCATCTATAGTCACCATTTTGTACATTTGATCCCCAGAATTTATTCATCTTATAGCTGAAAGTTTGTACCTTTTATCTAGGGGTCTTTAAAAAACTACTGATACCTGGCTCGGGCCCCCAACATTGCTATTTAATTAATATGAGGTATGACTTGGCATTCAGATTTTTTTTTAAAGCTCCTTAGGTGATTCTAATATGCAGCAACATTTGGGAACCCCTGGCTGAGCAGAGGTGAGGTGGTGCAGTGGGTGGTGGTGGTGGGGGTCCGTCACAGTGGGGTCTGTGACAGGGCTCTCCCTGCCCTTTCCTGCTCAGGCCCAGGCAGTCCACACCGCCAAACATCAGGCCTCCCTTGCCATTTTGTCCAGGATATCCCAGAGAATGGGTTCTGGAAACAATAGCCTAACAAGTTTAGCCTTTTTTTGCACCAAGATGCTGATTGCTGACTGGAGGGCCAGGGAGAAATAGCCTCCAATCTATGTACTCAAAATCTAAAAATCCTGCAAGGCAAACTAAAACTGAACTAGGACATGTGCTGCCACAAATCTATGCCCTAGAATGTGCATCCTGAACGGGAACTTGGGTGAGCTGGTGGGACACCACTCAGAACGGACACAGGCCTTCTGGTTGGCTGGGTACCCACCAGAAGTGGTGGCCACCTAGGAATCCTTTTCAGATAGAGGAAGCATCTTAGGGGGACCCATGGCCTATGCCTAACCAAGGAGACAGGTGACCTACCATATATTCTGGTTTTGCAGCTAAGGAGCTCTTTTGAGGGTCACAGAGGTGGTAACTTGCCCAAGATCACAGAGTAAAGCACTGTGAGAGCCAGGCCAGGAATCTGGCCTCTGGACAGCCTACTGTGCATGCCTAGAAACACCCCGTAATTTATAACAAGAGGCACATAGGGAGCCATTAAATTTTTCTATTGGGAGGAGTTAGATAAGATGTGGAAGAATGAGCTAATGAGGTTGTGGTTAAGAGATCCTAGATAAAAGACTGAAGGACAGCAATTCCCACTTGGCCCAATGAACAGATGATTCCCGTGTTCCGCAAGGGTAAGGTACAGATCACAGCTGGCTCCTCACCCCACCCTCCACCGGCCCCCACCCTCCACCCGCCCCCCACCCACCACAGCAGGCTGAAAACTGTCATTTTATGGCAGTGCTTAAAACAAAGACTCCTGAAAACTCCGCGCCTCCCTGACAGCTGCAGGGCCCACTGCCCCTGCCCCCATCACAATCGGCTTGCTCCCCCCTCTGACCAGAGGGGACCTTGGGCTTAGCCCAGCTGCCAGTTCCAAGGGAGCAGTGTCCTCAGGCACCCTCCCCCACCCTGCACAGCCCTCGGACGCCTTGGTGAGGAGCCCTTGCTGTGCCCTAGAGAAAGGCACAGGCAGAGGCTGCTCACAGTTCTGACAAAACAGGAACCTGGGAGCCTTCTCCCCAGCCTTTCAGAGCGAAAGCCCCGTCTCACCGTTTTGGCTCCTGTGAGCTGTCCCAAGTAGTCCTGGATCTTCTTTGTGTCACTGGTGGCTGTGATATCTACAAACTCCAAGCACCCTTGTTTGAAGGGCAGTTGGCTGAGGAGCTCTTGGGTCCTTATGCAGTAGGGGCAGGTGGGCTTGATGAACACGACCACCTTCCCAGGCTGGATCTTGCTGTTCACAAACTCTTGAGCCATGCTGACAGGCTGCTGCCTCCAAGGAAGGAATCTTCCGCTGCAGGTATCGCTTGGGTACACACTGGCAGCCCAGCCAGCTGGCTCTCATTTAAAGGAACCTCCCTGGAGGAGGAGTTTCTTGGTAACGTGCTCGATTTTTTAAAGGGACAGACAGCTCTGTGTCATTTCAGTCTGGTGTGATTCACCAGCCAGAGAGGCCAAGGAACGTGTACCAGTATTGAAGCAGCATCAGTCATGCCCAGGGTGACACTGTTGTCCTTGGGGCTTTCAGGAGCCCGTGCCCTTTGACAGAGAGCAGAGTCAAATCACCCTCTGGGGAAGCATGAAATGCACAGACTGCCTCCAAGGAGGGGGCTCCGTGGGCAGTGACTTCTTAGGAGTCAAATCTTTGCTTTCCCTCTCAGAAACATGGTTTTTAAAAACATGTGCAAACAATCATTCAAGAAACAGAGCACATTTAAATCATCTTTAGAGGAAGTGAAATTTAAATTATGACTTTGCATCCAGACGTGAGGCTGCTCCTGGGGAGTTTTGCGTGGCCTGCACATGACTGTTTGTTGTGATTGTTTTGGTGGAATTAATTCCCAACCTTTAAAAATCTGGTGATTTCCCATAAGAATCTGGACTTGCAAGCCCTCTCTGAAAAGTCAGGTTGCACTCACATGTGGCAGCAGCTCCTGGCTGAGTGGCCAGTGTACCCCGGGGCAGGTCAGACAGTGGATCCCTGGCTGGCTCAGGCCTTGGGGACTCTTGCACTTTCATCCCACAAGCATCTGAGTTTGTGACCCTTGATCAGTAGTTTAGCATGGAAGTAAATTCCCACATAACCCAAATTTCAGACTGTGGATTCAGTGAGGGTCTTTTTCTCTTTGATGCTTGGTGACCCTCTGTGTCACTATTTGGGAGTGGAGTGGGGTAATAACTCAGCTACCACATTCACCTCACAAAGAACAAAGCATGGGCTATGAGACCAGAAAACCTGATGCTCTTCCTACAGTGCTCTCGTAGGGGGAAAAGGTCTGTTCTAGGTTCAGTTCTGACCCACTTTGGGTGTGCTAAGTCAGTAAACCAAGGAAAAGCCACCTCTGTACAAAGCTAACCATCTTCCCCAGGAAGTTTCACGTTGAAGTTAGAGCATCTTCTGAGAGGTCCAGGTCCAGCTGGGCCCACCTGGATTGCCTGTTGTGAAGGTTTCTGTGGCCAGGATTCTCACCTGGACCTGGTCAGCTAGCTCCCTAACACACGTGTGGGCAATACGTTGCTATTGACTCTATATAAAGAGCTCCCCAATGCTCTGGGCCACATGGTGGCACAGCTGCAAGGCTGCAGAAGAGCAGAGCAGAGGCTGGAGGGGTGGCAGCATCAAGGACAGAAACTGGGATGGCTGTGTAGGCAGAGAGGCCCAGAGGCCAAGACCGGCTTGCTGCAGGCTGACTTTCTCTGAGAGGATGGGATTCTAGTGATTGATCTTTCACCGTGGAAATAAAGTTGGATATAAACCCTTTCACCTCAAGAATGTTCTATGTCATTTCTTTGGTCACATTGAATCCATAGTGAACTTGCCTGGGGCTGAAACCCATTGGCAAGACACCTGTCTAGGTCAGTAGAATCTCATGCATAGTGTGATTGAGAGAAGAGAAGAAAATGGCTTCCCAGAACAGCTCTAACTCTTGCTAAACTGAAAAGACAAAACCAGAAACCCAGATTCCGTGTCACAGGGAGCTAGTAAGTGAGATCTCTGTTGACAAGAAGAATGTGCAGGTCAGGAGGCGTGAGGCAACCTGGCCAGGTCAGGGTTTGGAATTTTTCACCCCATAGCTTCACTTCCCTCCCAAATAAGCAGAGGGCACAGTCTGTTTCCTGGGGTCTTTTCCTTCCTTAGCTCAGACTCCTGTGGCCGGGCCCCTCCCGGGGCTGCTGCCTTCTGTTCACAGGCATAGGGTTCCTTAGATGCTAGAACCTGGCTCTTCCCTCAGAACCTGTGTCTTAGTGTCTAGGGCTTGCCTCTCCCTCTTCGCTGCTCTTTTTCCTCGGTGTGTGACTGGTCAAGTCTCCCCTTTGTTCACCACCATCACCTGTCATCTCCTTTGACCCTGTTTTCCTGCCTCTGCCCTTTCCTGATAGCAAAGCTGCAGGGAACTTGCTATTTTGCTTGATACGCACTCACCTCCCACTCTTCCTTACCTCATCGTGGTCTGACCTCATCAACCATTCTGCTGAGACTCCTTTAGTCAACATCAATCATGATTTCTACTTTGCTACATCATCTTGTAGCCAGTTGTCCTGACTGAGCCTAACACGGAAGTGTGGGTGTGGAGTTTCTGGTGAACTGGTGGAGGGAACCTCCCGCAGGATCTGTTTGCATAGATTCCCTGAGAGTTTGGGCACCTGGGCAGAGACTGGGACACAGGGGAACTCTGTGCTTTGCCCTACAGCTCTGCCACAGGGACTGCTCAGAAGCCTTAGGACAGATGGCACAGGACACAGCTGAAAAGAGCATTTTCATGAGGGACTATGTGAGACATGAAAAACAGATGGCAAAGGGTGGGGGGTCCCTCCATTTCTCAAAAAATGCTGCAGCTTCAGCTCAGTGAAGAATTTGAAGCATCGAATACTGCTGAATTGGCATCACGAAGCTTTGTAGCTTCGGTGTGTCAGGAACCCATAAACCTTGCGTGCTGCAGGGGGACTGCAGAGAGGCCCGCCCTTGGATGCTGTGCACATCAACAGTGGGGTGTGTGGAAGGCACAGGGGGATTTTTCTCTGGCTGTTGACCTCCTCCCAGCCTCCAACCATCCCCCAAGGCAGTCACAAAAGGGCTTACTGAGAAGCAAGGACTTTTTTTAAGGAAGTGGAGGTCCTGCTATTCAGATGGTTGGCAACAAGCTAGTGATATGTGTGAAATAGGGGCTATTCCTATTCACATGATCTCATTTGTTCCCACAGGCTGATGAGGGCTGGGAAAATTTGGCTGCCAATGGACATTTCTCAGGCTTTTCCTTTACTTGGCCACCTTGCAGGACTTGACTCTATGGATCACTGTCCCCCTCTTGAAGCTCTCTTCATCCCAAAGTCATTTGCAGCTTGCTCTTTTTATTTTTCCTGTATCTATGGGTATTGCCTCAGCCTCTTTCTCAAGAATTTTGCCCACGCATGTGGTATATCCTGGGGCTGGTTCCTCCTCTCGCAGTGTACACGCCCTCTTTGAAAGATTTTATCCGCCTGCGCGGTTCCAGCTGTCACCTTTTTGCTGATGACTACCACGTTTGTTTTTCTTGTCTAGACTTTCCTAAGCCTCAGGAATGGAGAGCTCACTGCCTACTGAGAACACCCACCTGGGGGTCCCTCAGGCATCTCAGACTCAATGGAAACAAAACTGAAGCCACTCATCCTGCCTTCTGTAACCGCTCATCCTCGCACGCACAGTCACCTACCCTCTTAGCCAAGACAGAAACCTGGGAGGCATCTTTACTGCTACTTGCTCCCCATGCCCTTGCTTTTATTTATGCAGAATGGCCAAACTCCCAACAGTTTCGCCTCCTGCATGCCTCTCCAGTCCGAACACCCTTTGCATCCTGGCCGCTCTGCCTGGGTCAGCCTTCAGCAGTTCTCTGCTAGATCTGGTTAGAATCTCCATCTTGGCCTCACTGCCTGGCCCCACACTGCTGCTGGATGGTCTGTACATATGAACATCCTACCATGTTCACTTTTTTCTTAGAAGCCTTCCATTTTTCTCTAGGATCAACTCCAGATTCTCTAGTGGGGATGTGGCCTTGCGTGATTGGTCCACGCTGCCTCTTAGCTGTGCCACTGCCTTTCAGCCACATTTGTCTGTTATTCCAGCTATGTGGAGTCTCAGCCCTTTCCACACTTCTGCTGCTCACACGATTGCTTCGGACCTGCTAATCTCTCTGCCTAAAGGAGCCCTCCCTCGCATTTCTGTGTGGCTGACACCTGCTGGTCCAACAGGACCCAGATCATGTGTTGACTCACGGGACATGATCTGGAAGTACCCTTGAACACCTCTTCCCCCCTGGATTGGGTGCCCCTCAGCTGAACTCACACACATGCTGTGCCCTGACTCATCCTATGTCATTGTCATTTGTTACTCATTTTCTGGCATCTACAGTGAGCTTCTTGAGGGCAGAGAAGGGCTTTTGTCCCTATATTCCCAGAAGATTAATAGATTCATGGGTGTCCTTATCCACCCACTCATGCCTCCATCCAACAATATTTATTAATCAACTACTCTGAGCTGGACAAAAAGATCTATCACATGCAGCTCCAGCCCTTAGGAGTTTATAGTCTAGTGGGGGACACAGATGTGGGAAGTAGATAGAAATGTTATAAAGTATTCTAGGTGGTGTAATTGACCTATGCTTGAGCACTAGGGATCTGAAAGAGACCAGTCATTCCCACCTGGAGGCTGCTTAGGGAAGGCCTGGCAAAGGTGAGCTAGACTGCATCTGGAGAAAACAGACGTCTGTGAGTCTATGGGAAGGGCAGGACACTGCAGTCAGAGGGGGTAGGAAAAGCCAGCACAATGTAAATGGCACTTGGTTTTGAGTGTAGTTAGCTGTGGATAGAGCACAGGGGGTTTGAAGTGGGGGCAAGGGGAGAAAGCTGCAGAATAGACAGATAGATGATGGGTGTCCTCCGAGCTGAAGAGCGAGGGCTTTATACATAGCAGCCATAATTGCTATATTTTAGGCATGAATAGATTTACAATTAAACATTTGATGAATTAATGACTGTGTAACATCTCCCAAGTAACACAACAGGTACCTAAATGTGGTTTGACCACAGAAGGGCTCCGTGGAGTGGTAGGAATGTTGAACAGGCAAACCTTTCGGGGTTCCTCAGAGCTCACCCTGGGACCAGTCCCCTAGGCTTGAAGTGGTGCACCGGGGCAGCTGAGCATGAGGTAGGCTGCCATTGTTCTGAGCTGCCCCCCAAGACTTCCTAGCCTGATCACAGAAACCCTGAGCCCTTTCAGTGTGCTGCTGCGGAGGGTCGGGTGGATGAGCCATGTTGCCAGCAGCCCTTTCCAACTGCAGACACATGAAGATTCTGTGACTGTGCCCATG